CTATACTTTGTTTGTGTGTGTGTGTGTGTGTGTGTGTGTGTGTGTGTGTGTGTGTGTGTGTGTGTGATGTGTGTACCTGTTTTTCTATTCTGGTGGGGACTTAAGTGTAGGTTTAGGTGTAGGGTTGGTGTAGGGCAATAGAATATACGGTCTGTACAGTATAAAAACCATTACTCCTATGGAGAGTCCCCACAAGGATAGCAAACCAGACATGAGTGAGCCATGTCCGTTCTACATTGCATTTGTGCTCTAGTACCAGGCCTTCATTTCTGTGTGGAAATGTTCAGATTTATGCCAGATTTACTGATTTTATTTGAGAAATGAAAAAAAACAACAACAACCTTGTATTCTATCGCATTTCCCATTAATTTTCACTGTGGGGTCATGAGTGTGACATTTTTATTTTTTTACATACCTTCAGAACATTCGAATCAAGCCCAGTTTGTGTGTGTGTGTAGATAATGTAGAAAAAGTCGCAAAATCTTATGCCACTGAGATGAAGGGAACCATGTTTTTTAACCAAGGAAGGTTCCAAGGGGGATTATATTGACCCCCAATACAATAGTAGGGTTAAAAAATGTCCATAGTCCATAATAGGGAACATAGTGGTATTTTCAGTTTAATTAAACTTCTGTGGTAAGTTAAATGTTTACATTTTACATTTTATAGGTTATTCAGTGACAAGAAATAATTATTACCTACGTACACAATTAATAATGTACTTAATTAAAACAGCACAACAATAATAAACAGGCACAAAGTAAAACCTGAACAGTGCAAAATGTATAGATCATCACCTACAGGGAATATTACATCTCCATTATTCATGAGAAAGGTCCTGAACTGCTCATAAAATGGTTTGATTAGTGGATGATCTGTGATTTTGTTATAGATGAGGGGGCTCTGGGGAGATTTATTGCTAGAGATTTGCGTCTTGGTGGATTCTCGGCTAGTCTCCGTGCATCTTGCTCTTCCTCTCTCCAGAGCTCACGCTTTTTCCACTCTAACTCCTCCCTATCTTCATAATTCTCCTCCAGCTCTCTCTCCTTTCGTGCAATCTCTTCCTGTCTCTCCTCCAGAATCTTCTCTTGTTTTTCACGTATCTTTCTCTCTGAGTTCGGGTAAAATGACGTTGTGTAGCAGCTTCTGCCATTGATGGCCACCAAGGATCAGTATTTTTGCTCTATTTTCCCAGATGTGAAAGACCTTTTAAAGAATTTTTAAATGTGAATGTCTGCTAAAAGTTGTTAGAGTGACACAAGTACACTGAAAAAAAATAAAATAATAATAATTTTGGTTTTCACTCAGAAATTGATAGTAAATTTCACAATTCCAAAAAAACGGCAAGTAACACATTGAATTAAATGTGAAATTTTGAAGTAGAAAAACAGAAAAACATTTTCTTCTAAAACATACTTACAAAAATCTTGTTTACAACTTTTTTTGTTTGTTTACAACTTCACAGCGTATATACGGCATGTGACTTTAAATCTAATAGTCATGGACTAAAAATTTCACAATTTCCAATTTTAATTTATATTAATTTATACAGTACATATGCTACCGTTCAAAATTTGGTGTTGGTAAGATTCATTTTTAAGAAGTCTTTTATGCTCATTAAGGCTGCATTTATCTGATTTAAAAAAAAAGTTTATAATAGCTGCTTTCTATTTTGATATATTTTAAAATGTTATTTATTCCTGTGTTTGTAAAGCCAAAGTCATGTGTTGCTCCTGCTTAGTGTCTTTTCTTTCCCCCGTCTATTATTATAACTTTCCATTTCTGCTGGTTAAAATCAAGGGAGAAGCAGTGAGACTGAATGGTTGAATCAGTTACAGGTTGGAGTCACAGTGTTCAGTAAAACAGCCCCTGTTTTTCCACTCAATTGCTGAGTCACTGCAGGTCTGTATTAGTACTGAGTCACAGGCCTGCGGCTTTAACTCATAATTACATCTCTTCCCGAGGGCTCGCACATCTCCTGGGGTGTCTAGAGGAGATAAACCCGAGAAAACCAAGGGGAAAAAGTAGGATGCTGTGGTTTGACGCTGGAGTCACTCTTGGCAAGAAATTCATATAAATGTAATTTTGTAAAAAAAAAAAAAAAAAAAACATTTTTAATAATACATATTATATATAAATGTTTTTGTTTACTTCTCATCTATAGCTTTATGCTGTGATTTGGGAGATATGAAGTACTTTTCT